CGCTTATCTTAATAACTATTACTTGATTTAAAAGTTATTTATTTTATTTAGCTATTTAGCTAAGGTAGCCGCCTTAATAAAGATATCTTATTTAAAAATCTATAAGAACTCAAATCTGTAAATTACTCGCGTTTAAGTATATATAGAGTATCGTATAAAGGTCTTTATAGAGAGAGATTATATTAAATAACTTTATTAAATTAATACTAAATTAAATAAAATTAAAGATAAAAAGGTATAAATAAAAAATTAGAAAATTATTTAAATAATAGATTTAAGCTCGCTAACTTATTTTAATTACTAGTATTATTAATATTTATATTCTAATCTTAGAGGAAATACGTACTTTAGAAATTTTCGGCTAATTATCTACACTTATATAGTTGATAAATATACCTTATTAACTTAACACTCACTTTTCGAATTTCTATTAATATATTATATATCCCACGTTTATGCCAAATGTATATCTATCTTAGAATATTATTAATAATTTAATTTTTAGAATAGATAGCTATAAGGGACCTACTATATCTTATAGAATTATTTTATTAACTATAAATCAATAGATTATTAATAAATCGTTAATGAAGAAGAATGATATTTATCGAAATAGCGTATTTATAGTTATAATATCGATAGATATAGGCGACGAAAAGCGTAAATTAATATTATATAATATATATATAATATAATTAACTTAGATATTCGCTATTATAAATAGCGTTTAAGCTAAAAAGTAGCTTAAATAATAATAACGAGGTATTATAATTTTTCTAGATCTTAAATAAGATTAGAAAATATAAATATATCGATAATATAGAATTTATAGATATAAAAATAAAATTCTATCGATAGAATATTTATCTATTAAATTTAGCGATAAAGATATATTAATCGTTTTCTATATATTAAACCTTCTCTAATCTAGAGATATTAGAGAATAAGATAGTTATATTAGCTATTATAATTATTATTTAACTTCTTATTATAGCTAATATAAAGTATTTATTTTATAATCTTAATAATATTATCTTATTTTAAAAAGACTATATAAACAATATAATTTAACTCTAAAGACGTTTTTAAAATCTAATTAAAAATCTCGTCTATAATATAATTAACTTTATTTCTAATATATTTAAGATATTAGCGTTAATTAATTCGTAATTTATCTAAATATTATTATACTTATTCTTTATTAAAGTCTATTACTCTACCCTCTCTCTTTTTAACTTCGTAATCTTATTTTTTAATATTAATATTTATATCTTCTTCTTATATAAGATAAACTTAATCTTATATACTTTATCTTAAATAATATTATTAGACTTCGCGTTATTTTAAATAGGGATTAAGATATAAAGCGGAGAGATAATATTCTTCGAGAAATTAAAGTTATTACTATATCGTAAATTAGTTCCTTTTTTTTTAAATATTTAATCTTATAATTTTAAAAAATTAGAAATAGTAAATAGATAGATAAATATACTATTAATAAATATATTAATTATTATAATATTTATATTTCTAAAAAAGCGCTTTATAATATAGTTAATTAGTTTATTAGATAAATAATAAAGCTTATTAATACTAACGCTAGAATCTAAAATAAAAAATATTACTTTAAATTAATATATATAATATTTAATATATTATATTATTTACTATTTAATTAATATAAAAATATTATAAGATTTATAAAGTTTAAATAATCACGTAGTATAGAGTTAAAATTAAAAATAATTAAAAAGTTATAAGACTTTAAATCTTATTTTATTGATTTAAATCTTTATATAATAGAAATAGAATTTAAAAAAAATTATAATAGTATATAATAAAACAAAATAAATAAATATTTTATCTTATCGCTATTATCTTATATTAAATTTATATATTTCTTATTTATATTTAATATTATTTAATAATTATTCTTTAAAGTTTAAAATTAATCTTATTAATATCTTATAATAAATCTTAGTTTTATCTATCTTATAGTGAGAGATATAGTTAAAATATTAAAGTAATTATATATATAAAAAATATTATAGCTCTTTAAGAAAGTCTAAGAGAATACTTTTTCTTTATTATCTTATTATTATAAATTACTTAATATATATATATTAAATAAATATCTTAAAAGTATAAAAGCTATTTTAATATTATATTCTACTTAAATTATAAAATATAATTTATCTATTATATTTTAAAGTATTATTATTATAAAAGTAGATATTAATTCTAATTCTCTATTTATTATAAATTCTTAAATAGCTTAATAGATTATATTTTTCTAAAGATATAATATATATAAAGTAGAGATAAATAGTAAATTATAAATTTAAATAGATAAGTATATATAGAGATAATAAAATATAAATCTTAAGTAGTAATAGGTATTTAGCGTATAGCCTACTTCTCTTTAATAAAGATACTATTAGTCTTTTTAATATATTAAAAAAATAGCGATAGCGTTCTCTTAAAGTAATAATCTAAATCGTTATTCGAAAAGTCTAATTTATCCTTTACTCTATTATTATATTATTATTTACTTTTTAATAATAATAAGATTCTTATTTTAATAATTATTATACTTCGATAAAGAATCTATTTTATTTATTTAAAAAAGTAAATTACGGCGAGAATAAGAAGATTTAATATATTTATTTTTATTTTAAAGTTAATTTATATATAGCTTAACTCTAATATCGAAGATTAATTAGATATTTTATAAAAAGATTAATATTAAAGTATTAAAAATAAGTATTTAAATTTAATCTACTTTTAAAGTAGAAGTATTATTCTTTATTTATTTTATCTAATTTAAATATATTAATAATATTATTAGAGAAGTTAAAAATCTAGATGAAAGAATTAGATAAGTATTTATTTACGAATTAATATATTAAAGTCTTAAATTCTATAATAATAACTAATATATTCGTTATATCCTTTTTTAAAAAGTTTATAATCTTTATTTATATATAAAAATTAGCTAATAAATAAACTACGAAAATAATATTAAGATAAACTATACTTATAATTATATTCGAAACGAATCGAGTTTTTTAATTTATACTATTTTAATTAAGGCGATATCTACTCTTAATCTATTTCTAATTATATTACTTAATATTATCTCTCTAGATAAATCTAATAATATATATAATCTTATTTAAATTAAAATATATAAGATATATAACTCGATAATTATATAAAAGCTTATTAAATTTAATTTAAATATTATTAATAAAGCGCGATAAGCTATTAATCTTAAATATAAATAATATATTATTTTATTAAGACTTCGACTTAGATATTCTAAATATCTATTTAATACTCTTTTTAAGAATTTCTTCTTAATATATAATATTATTAAACTCTTTATCTACTTTATTTCCTTCTAAAATACTATTACTCTAAATATTATATATTAAAAATATTTATATTTTAGAAAAAGAAAACTTACTTTCTATTTATTCTTTATAAATTTCGATTTATTAAATCTCTTATTCTTATTTTTACTCTCTTCTATATTACTTAATAAAGTAATTTCTTAATAATTTAATTCTATTTTAAAGAGTTTATATATTTTAAATTTCTTTATACTAGCGGGCTAAAAGATTATCTTTTTTTTTTTAAAGTCTTTACTAATATAGATTTAGACGAAGAGCTTATAGAAATAAATTAGAATTATATACTTATCCTCTTAATTTATTTTAAATTAAATATTTTAAAAAAACTTATTATATATTATAATAAATAAAAAAATAACTATTATTATTACTAGAATAAATAAAAAAAAAAAAAAAAAAAAAAAAAAAAAAAAAAAAAAAAAAAAAAATTTTTTTTTTTTTTTTTTTTTTTTTTTTTTATATTTATTTATTAAAAAATTTTTTTTTTTTTAATATTTTTTAAAAATAAATTTTTTTTTTTTTTTTTTTTTATTTTTTTTTTTTTTTTTTTTTTTATTAATTTTTTTTTTTTTTTTTTTTATTTTTTTTTTTTTTTTTTTTTTTTTTTTTATTTATTTTTTTTAATTTTTTTTTTTTTTTTTTTTTTTTTTTTTTTTTTTTTTGTTTTTTTTTTTTTTTTTTTTTTTTTTTTTTAAATTTTTTTTTTTTTTTTAAAAAAAAATTTTTTTTTTTTTAAATAAATTTTTTTAAATTTTTTTAATAAATTTTATAATAATTTATTTAAAATTTTTTAATTTTTTAAAAAATTTATTTAATTAATTTTTAAATTTTTTAAATAATTTTTTAAATAAAAAAAATTATTTATATAAAATAAGAAATTTTAATAATAATAATTTTTTTTTTAAAAAAAAAAAAATTAATTTTTAAAAAAAAATATAATTAATTTTAAATAAATAATCGTAGTCCGACTATTCGCTCCGCTTATAGTAGTCCGCAACTCAAAGACGCACTAGTCTCAAAGACGCGTTTTTTCGCGATTTGACACCCTACATTGTAATCCACCATTATTCCACTATACCATGTCTATATCTTATTCTAAGCAAGAGGAACTCGTTTAGAAGGCTATTGATGAGTATAAGGACGGTTATTTTCGTAGCGCTATAGCGGCCGCAGAGTATTATAGTCTTAAACCGCGACGGGTATAAAGATGGCTTCTAAGGACAAGCTTCTAGGAGTACTCGAATACTTACTCACACACGTCTTACTACGGCTTAAGAATAGTCGCTATATAACTATATTAATCGTCTAAATAATATCGAGTATTTACTTCGACTAAATCATATTTAGGGTGCTGCTGAGTATATTCTTAAAATCGCTTTGAATCCGCATTATCCCCTTAAACTACTCGGTAAAGATTGGGCTATACGATTTATAAAACGGTATCTTAAATATTATAAACGAAAGTAAAAACCTCTTAGTGCTGAGCGTAAGAATACGTACGATGTTGAGAGTATACGCGTGGCGTATGAGAAATTTCGATGGGGCTGTGAAGAGAAGGGTATACAATATCAGGACATTTGGAATATGGACGAGACTGGCTTTCGAATTGGCTGTGGAATCGTTCATTATGTCATTACTTTGGACAAAAGTAAGCCTCTACGGTTCGTAGATCCAGACAATCGTGATTACATTACGTCCGTTGCTAATGGCTACTCGAGACAAATTGCCGAGCGAGACATTGAGGCCATTCACAAAGAGGCCGTAGTCAAGCGGGCACGTAAGACACTTTCTGGGACGGTTGCCCAGAAGGGAGGATGGATGTCAGTAGATCAAATACGCAAATCTCTGACTGTGGTGGAAGAAACAGCCATAGAAAAGGCGGAGAAGGCTCTGAAGCGAGCTACTCGGGCTGAGGAAATTCAGTAAGAAAAGGCCGACAAGGCCATTAAGGCTTACATCCGAAAGCTGGATTATGGTCTATAAAAGCTAGTACATATATATTGGAATATATTTATTAGGATTTGAGTTATAGGACGAGATCTATGTAGAATTAGGAAGGAATAATGGATTTTCGCGTCTTTGAGACTAGTGCGTCTTTGAGTTGAGGACTACTATGAGCGAAGCGAAAAGGTTAAAGAAGAGAAAATATTTTTTTTTTTTTTTTTTAAAAAAAAAAAAAAAAAAAAAATTAAAAAAAAAAAAAAAATAATTTTAAAAAAAAAGCTATTATTTAATTAAATAGTAATCTTAGATATCTATTATAGTATAACTAATTATCTTTAAAATATCTTTATACCTATCTATTTCCTTAAAGCTCTTTTTTATTTCTCTATCTTCTTATAAAGATAATATATTATTAATCGCCTTTTTAAATCTATAGCTATTATTTATTTCTAATATTTATTTATTCTATAATTCTTAATCTATTAAAATCTTAATTTATTAAATTAATTTACTTTAAGTATTTTAATATAGCTCGCGATATTATATAATATATATCTCTTCTAATTAGCGAATATATAGCGAAGTAATAATATATAAACGCTAGATCTCTAATATTCTAATTTTAAACTTACTATTTTTTAAGATAATTATATTAGAAAATAATAGAAAATAATAATAGAAGAGAAGATTTAGATAGAGTAAAAGAGTTTAAATAAAATTATATTTTTAAAATATTTTAAAAAAAAAAAATTAATAAATATTTTAAAGCGCTAGAAAATATTATAAATAGCGAAATAAATATAAATATATAAAATTATATTTTACTTTATTAATTAACTTTAAATATTTATTAATTTTAAAAAATATTATTATTATAATAAATAATCTCTATTAAATTATTAAGAATATTATATTAAATAATAACTTAAATACTATATTAAATTAAGAAAACGAATTTAATAATAAAGAAGATTTTCTATTATTTATATTAAACCCGTCTTTAATTTTTACTTCTTTAGAAATATTAATATAAAACTTTAAAAATAACTTTAACGAGTTAATACTTAAGAATAATTCGCGTAAATAGATTATAAATATATTATCGCTATTAAAGCGCTCTTTTATAATTAATTTTTTTCAAAAAGATTTTTTATAAAAAAGCCTTTATAAAGTTAAAAATTTTTATAATAATTTTTAAATTATAGTATTAAGTAACTGAATTAAATAGATAAAGCTATTAAAACTTATTAAAAATATTTAATCTATTAAAAAACTTAAAGACTTTAAAAAATCTATTAAAGTCTATTTTTATTATTAAGAAATATATTAAAGCGTAGTTATTATTTATTAAATTATAATATTAAAAAATAATTATAATACTTTAGAAATTATTTACTTAAGATTTTAAGAGTATTCTTTATACTAATTAAAAAGATATATATTTCTTTAATCTTCTATATCTCTTTAAGATTATTCTATTATTTACTAATTTTTATATAAAGATATATATTAAAATAGTTTATTTTATAAATAAATTAATAAAACTCTATTATTTTATAATATAGGCGATATTAATAAAAGTATATTCTAGAGATTATACTAAAAATTACGATAACTCTTTTATAATTCTCTTATCTAATTTAATTTATTATTATTATAAAAAGCTAAATTACTATTATTTAGCTATAATAAATATTAAATTTTATTTTAATAGAGTTTTCGAAGTTAAGAAAGATTTTATTAAGATAATAATCTCTCTAGAAATAGTAAAACTTATTATTAATTCTCTTTACTTCTTATCTCGCTTTAAATTAAATTAATTAGATTATTTAATTTCTTTATAATCTATAACTATAAAACTATTTCTCTTAAAAAATAAGTTTTATTATATTATTTAAGATTAAATCGATTTTCTAGAAATAGAAATATATTATAATTATCGCTATAAGAGTTTAAATATAGATTTAAATAGAAAGCTAGCTATCTATAAAACTCGCTTTATTATATAAAATATTTATAATATTTAAATTAAGTTAATAAACGCTTTATAACTTTATTCTTTTTATTATAATAAATTAGAACTTTTAATTTATAATTAACGTTATCTTTTTAATTTCTCTAAATCTTCTTATATTAATATATCTCTCTTTACTTTTATAAACGTATTTAAATTATATTAAAATATATATAGATTAATTTTTAGATATATATTACTATTACGAGGTTAAATTAGCGCGAAAAAAAGAGGAAAATTAATATCTTATTATTTACTTTAGAGTTTTATAAAAGCGAGTTTATAGATATTATTAAAGTTATTAAGCTTAAAATAATAAAACTAAATAAAGAAATCTTAATTGTTGATTTGAAAGTTATTTATTTTATTCGGCTATTTAGCTGAGATAGCCGCCTTAACGAAGGTGTCCTATCTGGAAATCTATAGGGACTCGAACCCGTAAACCACTCTCGCTCGAGTATATATAGAGTATTACGCGAAGGCCTTTATAGAGGGAGGCTATATCGAGTAACTTTATTAAATTAACGCTAAATTAAATAAATTAGAGATAAAAGAGTATAAATAAAAAATTAGAAAACTATTTAAATGATAGATTTAAGCTTATTAATTTATTTTAATTACTAATATTATTAATATTTATATCTTAATTCTTTATAATATTATTTAACTTCTTAATTATCTCTATTACTCTTCGCTTAATCTAACTTATTATTACGAAAAAGTAAGATATTAAATAAATAAAATTTTTATAAATCTTTATTCGATTAAGAAACTCGTTTTAAAGGTTTTTAAATATTTATACGTTATACTCTTTAATTTAATATCTCTTATAAAGATATAAAACTCGATCTATAAGGATTTACTTCTAAATTAAGATTCGATAGTAACTTTAAGCGATATCTAAGAATTAATATATAATTAAGTTATTAAAACTATATAATAAATAATATTTTTATAAGAATTAAATAATAGTCTAATAGAGAATATTCTATTATCTCTTATTAATACTTTTTAGATTAAAGCTAAATATTATAAAAGCGATTATCTTATTAATAATTCTTATCTCGAGTATTAAATTAAGAATTAATTAACTTAAAATAATAAAAAACTCTTCTTATATCGCTTTCGATATTATATACTTAATTTATATATAAAATAAAGATTAATTAATATTATAAATAGAATATAGCTATTATTATATCGATATCTAAATAAGATTAATTTTTAATTAAATCTTCTTATAAAGTAATTACTAGAGAAGGTTCTCTATATATAATATTCTAAACTTATTATAAATCGTAATTTATATTTTATTTATTAAGACTTTTAATTTATAGCGATATTAATAGATAAGAATAGAGTCTTTAATTCTATCGCTAAAATTAATAGCTTTTAATCTCTTATCTAAGATTATAAAATAGACTTATTAAAAGCTAATCTCTAATAAAAAAATAAGATAATTATTAATCTTTATAAAGTATTTTTATTAAAATATATCTAATTTTTATATATATAAAGATAAGAGTAATAAGCGCTAGTTTAATAAAATAACGTTAGAAATTAATTTATTAATAATATAATTAATCTAGAAAGAGTACTTATTATATACTATTTTAGCTAAAATTATTAAAACCGCGTATATCGAGTTTTATATATCTTTAAAGATTCTAATATCTTTATTTTATAGAGCTCGCTAGATCTCGAAGTTAAACTTTTTTATATTCTCTAAATCGACTTTCTCTAATAATAAATAATAAAATACTAGCGTCGCTAATAGTTTTATAATAATTAGAAAAAATTTAATTTAAAGAATTTATATAGATATTTTTTTTTATCGCTATTAAATAGTTTATATTAATTTCGAAATATAATTAAATTAATTAAAGAATTAAGTTATTTAAAAATTAATAAACGCTAAAATATATAAAAGACTTTAAATATATAATATTAGAATATCTTTAATTAAAATAATTTATATTAATTTAAGAGAGTTAATTACTCTATTAACTATAATTATAACGCTTTTATTAATAACGATTTATAAATTAATTATCTCGACTTTATTTTCTTTTATCTAATAATAAATATAAAGATTATAAATAATATCTTAAACTTTATTATTTTATATTAATTTATAATACTTCTTTTCTAATTTATCGTATATCGCTAAAAGTATATATAAAAATTATAAAATAAATTTAAAAAGAGATATTATAAAGGTAGTTTTAATTATTATTCTATTTTTAAGAGATAAATAAAATTATAACTAGTTTTATATTAATCTCTTAATCTTTTATAGAATTTTAATTTAAAAATTATCTAACTAATAATTAATATTTATCTTAATTAATATTTCTAGATATTTATAGAGATTATTAAGAGAAATTTCCTTTATATCGATAATATAAATATAAATAATATTTTCTATATATAATATATATAACTTATCTTAATTAATTCTCACGTCGATTATAGCGTAATAAATCTTTAAAACTACTATTATAATATTTATCTCTTTTTAAAATTATATAATAATTATAGTATTATTAATATATATCGTTATCTTCAACACTCTATTCTTTATTTATACTCTTAAGATTTAAGAGTTATAAGCGATATATCGAATTAGATTTTTAATTATAATTATAAATAGAGGATAGCTTAGAGAATTTCTCTATTTTACGCTATTTTATATTATAATTATTTTTTTAATATAATTATTAATATAAATCTTAATTTTAGCTTTCTTATAGATAAATTATATCTAGATAATAAATTCCTCGAATATATCTAATTCTTTTAGAATCGCTAGAAGAAACTTATAACTGATTCGATTATATACTTTTTTCTAATCGAGAAAGAGAATAGCGATTCTCTCTTACTTCTATGATGATTTCTTAATAGATTTATACTTAATTATTAAGTATTAAATTATTTTAATATTATTATTTATAAGCCTCTTTAATAA